TGGAGCCCTAGGGTCTAAAGACAATGATGGAAAAAGAATGGAAAAAAACGACTGGAGCCCTAGGGTCTAAAGACAATCATGGAAAAAGAATGGAAAAAACGACTGGAGCCCTAGGGTCTAAAGACAATCATGGAAAAAGAATGGAAAAAACGACTGGAGCCCTAGGGTCTAAAGACAATCATGGAAAAAGAATGGAAAAAACGACTGGAGCCCTAGGGTCTAAAGACAATGATGGACACACATATATATTTATATATATATATATATTGGAAAAAAACGACTGGAGCCCTAGGGTCTAGAGACAATGATGATGGAACATAAAAGACAATGCTGGAAAAAGCATGGAACAGAGGCTGGAGCCCTAGGGCCTAAAAGACAATGATGGAACCTTGAATTGAAAAAAACTGGAGCCCTAGGGTCTGAAGACAATGATGGAAAAACAATGGAAAAAGACTGGAGCCCTAGGGTCTAAAAGACAACGATGGACAAAAACAATGATGGAAAAAGAATGGAAACTAAGACAGGAGCCCTAGGGTCTAAACGACAATGATGGAAAAACACAATGATGGACAAATATTGAAAAAACTGGAGCCTGTCTAAAAGACAATGATGGAAAAATAATGGACAAAGCGAATGGAGCCCTAGGGTCTAAAGACAATGATGGAAAAAATAATGGAAAAAAAGACTGGAGCCCTAGGGTCTAAAGACCATGATGGAAAAAGACTGTACTTCGTTGAGTGGTCCTTTGGTTCCTGCCCTGCGCATCAAAACGGTCATCGAGTCCGGCGCTGGCGCCTGAGCGGATCATGACCAAATGATGGGGAAGATCTTCATGGAGTGGATGGAACACGGAGCACTTGTATGTCTCTAGTCATCTGGGAGTAGACAGATGGCTAGACACATGGACAATCCGAACCCCTGGAGCTAGGCTTTGGACAGCTGAGTCCTGGAGCTTGGGATTGCCTTGCTCATGGTTTTTTCATTCTATCTATTATCTACTCCATGACTCGGATGGTAAATCCATGCTGAACTTTGCCCAAGAACATTGGACCATTGATCCAACACCGCACGGTGTTCTGAACCGGTTCCCACCGTTGACCATGCCTTTTCGCCCGTTCCAGGTGACTGAAAATTAAAGCATCCATGGTAGCAGTGGGTGACTGAAATCCACATTGGTGGGGTATGATTCATCATGTGAATTAATCAGTCAAAGTTCTGAGCTGCCATTATAGAACTTCCCCTAAGTTACTAGACTGGTTTTACATCATGGTTGTATAAAATGACTACTCATCCATCCATAATAGCTCCTATGTGTTCTTCTACGTCGTCGCTTCCTCGCTCCTCGTAGCCTTCTCCAGGAGCCTGCCAGTGGGTGCTGTCGAACATGGACACGTGGCTCCCCTGGATTCCCACGCGGAGCGCTTGCTTTATGGGCCAGGGCCTCTTTCGCGAGTTACCTGCAGCCGCTTGGCGTCGATGGAAACGTCGGCGGAGTCGCGGAAAAGGCTTGGAGGATGGGTTCAGAATCCAATCACTAGGAATCGAAGAAGCATTGTTTTAAGATGTTTTAATGGTTTGAATTCCCAAGAACCATTGCTTTACAAAGGATTTTTTTCACTACACCACCAGGTCAACCATGTTTTTCAGGGTCTTTGAAGGCTAGGGCAAACACGAATTAGCAATCATGTAAATGGTGTATAGCCTGTATAGCTTTCCTGCTTGTTAGGTGGTGGATGCATACGTGTCTTTCCTGATGATGCATCTTCCATTGTTGCATCTTCCACCCTGACCCTAGAGAAATCCGAGTTGCAAACCATGAGGGCTTTATATACGTTCCGAAACGATTGGTTATCCAGAAAGGACATCCAACTTGTTATCAGCAGGGCGAATCTCTTCTCTTGGTTGGATTGAATAGCATTTTTGATTCCCGAATGCATCGTCTCCCCAGTGCTTCCACATGAGCCACGTTTAGCTGCTAGTAATGCACCAGTTCAATCGGTAAGCTGGAAGTGTAACCGGTGAAATGGTTGTGAAAACACAACTGTTTTTCCTCCCCAAGAGTTTGTTGAGTCTTGAGGATATCCCCTCTGAAATGCACCAATACACCAAGTGGCAGTGGTTTCTGTATCAATTGAAACTATAAACCTGTACCATCCAATGAGTGTCCAATGGAGATCCTGAGGTAGTGTAGGGTAATCCAGCCAGGACACCCATTGGATTCATTGGATGGTCCTGGCATACAGCTTCATGATGATTATGAGTTTGTTTTTGTGTTTGTGTGTTGTTCAAATTGGATCGTTCATGTCACGCGCTTTTATGTGTATTGAGCTCATGGTTGCACGAACTGCGATGTTTGAGCTTTTGTTTGCGTGAATGCAGAACAACCTCTCCCAACATCGGCCTTATTTTGTCGCAAGACAGTCAGAGACTCATAGACCAATAGATCCAGTTGCAGATCTATCAACAAATCGCTCAATATGTCATTTCATGGAAACAGGCCTCAAGCGTTTTGGCCAAGGGTTTGTTTGGCCAAATGCCCGAGGCAGCACGGTCTGGCGTGCGTGTCGGTCCTGATGCTTCTGTGGTGGTGATGGCACCCAGATGCCCCTTTCACTCACCCAGGTAGGTTTGACCCCATGGTGGACCTCCCACAAGTCTGTTCGTCCATTCTGTTCAGCCAGTCTCTGGTCAAGCCAGGTAGCCCAGTGTCATGGCCCGTAGCCCCATGGTTTTTTCTAAGGATCCCGCTTTATTTCAATTTGGTCAGGCGTGCGCAGAAGACCACCTCGCTCGGTCTTGGGCGGCAAGATCTCCAAAAACGTGCGGATGGAATTTAAGGACTCTCCAAAGATCTCCAAAGGATGATACTGCAGGAGTCACAAAGGGACGGTTTTTCGATGTTCTTAGCTGATCCAGCGAGTGGATATGACGTTCGGGGCACTCCTTCCCTCCTTCCTCCGTTCGTTCAGCACCCTGACGTGATTTGAGTGATCTATTCATGAGTTAAGTTCCTTCACGTTTAGGGATCCAACAGAGGTTGAAGAACCTTATAGACTATCCCATGGATACCCCAGAATGGTCCTATATGGTCGCTTAACCTCTCTTGGATGTTCTTTGGGGGATCTTAACTCACTGTCCATTGCGAAAACAACTAACTGCCCCGGCAGTTCTGTTTAGACAGCCAGACTGTGGAGATTTGATCTGCACGTTCGCCTTGGGGGATGAGCGGGAAGTGATGGAAGATGGTGCGTGGTCGGTCTTGGCTGTGGCTCATGGCACCCTGACACCGTTCCCAAACCGAACCGAATGGATTGCTGGGGAGGTCAACCTACCAGGGATCAAGGGGTCCCGGTACCATGACTCCACTCGCCATTGGATGGCGCCGTCCAGTCTCAGGGCTGACGGACCTCTCGAGGTTCGCTTGACAGGGGCCGGTGCTTTTTGGAGCGCAACAGAACCACAACTTGGTCACTCAATATGATTTCACTTGGTCACCACAACTTAGCGGGGCAGAATGTTTTGGTGGTTCTATGTTCGGAGGCCCCCCCAGTTTGCATCGCCCTGATTTGTGTTGGCCTGTTGAAATCAAACCACACCCACACCCAAGACTCCCAAGACTAAAAGATCTTTGACCTTCCAGCTGGTCAGAGAGTCTTTTCTGAACCGAGCCGGGCCATGCCCGGATGTTTCGGTCAACGATGCACTTCTCGCCTCCGCACGTGGCGTCGCCGCAGTCGGCGGGCTTCGTCACGAGCAACGGCCTGTGGGGCGAGTGGCTCTCCGAACGAAAGGCCCAGGCGGGGCGGTGCAGCCGTGCGTCAACGCGGTGCGTGCGTCAACGCGGTTTTGGTGCTGCGGTGAAGGGAGTGAAGCTGCGGTGAAGGAAAAGCTGCTGAGGTGCACAGCTAAGGTTTTTGAATTGACATCCCTCGGCAGAGGACAAGTCATTAGGCAGTTGAGGACTGCTCAATGGGGTGGACAGTCTGAAGAAAATGATCGATGCCTTCGGTCCACAGAACCGAGTCAAAGGCTCCAAACCATGAAGGTGTTCTGTGCAGTTTCTCAATTTTCGCATTGTGTTTGGACGCATGTAATTACTTGTTGCAGCGATTCGAAGAGCACGACTAACAGTGAATCACCTCGAGCATCTAGCAATATCCTTGATCATGGCGCAGGCTGAAGCCGCTTGCTTTCACTTGCCAAAGGTTGCATGCAAATTCCTGAACATTCCTGAGCTACAATGATGAACATTCCAGTGCAGCAGATGAGTGGGGATTTTACCATACTTGAAGCAGCCCCGGACATGACCATCGGCGAGCTCAAGAGACAGCTCAAAGGAATGCGAGAATGGAAAGATGAGTGTATAAAGAAGATGACCTTGGTCGAATTGGTGATCGGTACAACTAAGCTGATTGATGATGATGAGACACTCATGAGAGTAGGGCTTTCTGAAGATGCAGTTTTGCAAGTGTGCTTCACAGTCCGCTCAATAGAGTGCTCAGGAAAGAACGATGCTGGCTGCCACAATTTAACCAGCAACAATCTCACCAGTTCCCAAGCCCTTTTCATGGTAAACATTCCGGAAGGCACGACAAGAATTCAAGAAGAAGCCTTTGTACACTGCCACATGATTGGGGGTGTGACGTTTCCCACCTCTCTGACCAAGATTGGACAAGCAGCCTTTCGTGGCTGCAGTTCTTTGACCAGTTTGACCATTCCGGACT